TCTCGCCAGAGTGCTTAACCACTAGACTGGTAGGTCCCGGGTTCGAATCTCGTGAGACGGGATCGTGGATGCACACTGCTGAGGAGTCCCACAATGGGACGAAACAGTCATCCAGTGATTCCAGGTTTTCCATGATGGTCAAGCTTCAATTGATTCATGATTTCAACTATGAAAAATACTGAAATCTCCACAAAACTCTTTCTGATTATAATCATTAAATTATTTAATAAAATGAAATAAAATAACTTACCATCAATATAAACAATTTTATAATTTGGTATATTAAAGTTTAATGAGTCTATTTTGAATAAACGAGATTGGATAATTATCAGTATATATATAAAATAAGTAAATAATTTAGTATATTCCATTGGTGAAAAATAATAATAATTTTTTATATATATATAGAAATAAATAAATAAAATCTTTTTGATGGTTTGTTTCAAATTTGTAATAATTAAATATGATATTGTTGTTGTTTTGTTTTCATAAATATCCCCGTTTTATAATCATTCTATTTCATATTAAATATCTTTATTCAATCCTTTGAAAAAATTACAGCACCCTTTGTGTGAATACTCAAAAAGGTGTTCTATTGCAATTAAGTATAGGTTAATCATTTTATATGAGAACAAATATAAATATAAACATACCTAGTGATATATATATACAAACAAATATCTCAACCAATGAGATTTGAGATTTTGTTTTAGATTCTCTTAGAATTGTTACTTATGTCACGTGCTAATCAACTCATCAAATAAATAAGGAATGTGTATTCAATGGTGTAACTTCAGGTCTATCATTTGTATTAAAAGAAAAACCCACTGGGTCCTTCTAATTTGGATGCTATACCTTACATATCATCAGGAACAGATGGAATCCCTTTAAACATACAATAGGCTTGTTGATATCTATCAAACACATATACTATAGCAGTACATGGAAGTTAGAACACACTCAGACAGCCGAAATTCCGTTGTGATTGATAGCAACTGGGCGAAACCGGGACAAGTAGTTAAGACTTTACCTGAGAAAACAAATATCAAGGACACAAAGCTATTCTGTGATCGCATTGTAAACTAGAGGATCAATAGTTCAGCTGTAGTCGAATATAGTGTTTAGTATGTCTGTTACCATTGAAATTCATTATCATGCTATCATTTGATCTGGGTAATTTTTGGTATTTTCAGGCTTTATTAGTAACCGATAAGTTGGGAGAAATCACCCAGTTTTAACCTTGTCACGATTGGTTACAATATAATAAACTACGAAAATATCAAATAATGTAGAATAGATTATCATTTCTGTTTGATGAGGCAACTGACGATCGACAGTTAGGCTTTGTATAAATGGAACACAAATGAGATACATTTATCGCCGAAAATTTCGAATTGTGACTCTGTTGGGGATATTAGATCCCCAGGACTCACTTGATAAATGTTCTGTTTTTGTAATTTTATTTTAGAAATTTGAATTTCTTGTTTTTGAGCCAAAGTCTTTCATTTTCACCTTCGTATCGTATTTCCTACCTAAAAGGACCCTAAATATTATAGGTTCGTTGTCGCTTTTGATATTGTTATATCCCGTGGAGAATTATGAATGGTAACTTTGAGGACTATCTATGGACCAATATGATATGTATATTTCCTATTGTATAATTGTTAAGTAAGTAAACTATTCATATTCGTGTCCCTCTTATCATAAGCTTTATGTTGACCTATAGACTATTATCATACGATTTACCATTCTTTAGTTATTCCCAGTCTATTGATTACTGTCCCCTTGTTCACAGCCACTTTTTGCTAAATCTTGTACAAATGTTATTTTCTATTTTATGGTACGATGTGGTCAATTTGGTTGGTATATAAACCCAGTATGTTTATGAATAATGATTCATATTGTAGAGGTTGTTATTGGTGTTCTGGACTTAACTGGCTGGGTTAGGCAGATAGCAGGACTGACAAGTAATTAAGACTGCTCATACAGCTTTTGTGTATCATTGCTCTGATCGATAATTCGCCCTTCTCTGACTGGCGGGCATCATCACCTTATTTATCAAACAGGGCACGTACGCACCCACATGTTATAACAATTACTGTTCCACTTTCATTTTACTGAAAACTTGATTTCAGTTGGCTAACCTATTAGTGGATCCTATTCTTTGTTTATCCTATTTGGTTTAGTTGACTGATTCTACCTCTTGAGCTTCAGAGGCTTAATTACTTACTTTTTCATACATTTAACTCCTCACCTTGAAGCTACTTGGTTGATGTTACATCTGTCATTTTTCGACAGGACTCCGCTTATGGGTAGTGTGGATCCTATCTTGTCACTGCCAAGTAATCACTGTATATTCTTAGTGTTCTAGTTGCTAACTGTTATATGACTGATCATATATTCTGTTTACTTTTCATCGATATTTGTCCATTCAATACGACTCGTCTACATTAAGTCGTGTGACTCCACGTCACTGATATGGTAAGCCAACCAAGAGTAGCTAAATGAGATCAGTCGTTGTAAATCATAAGTGATATCAAGGACAATTCCATTTCATCGGCCAAGAAATGGATTAATTTCTTCGGAGGTAGAGTTTTACATACATAAACGAGTACTTTGGAATTTATTCGGTAGCCCAATATGCTTTCTCTTCCACTCTTGTGTTTCAGTTCAAGTAGTCAGTTGGTGGGGGGATGAGCGCGTACTACATCATTATCAGAATTCAGACACCACCTGTCACAACAGTTTCTATAAAACTTATTATCCATCATCGGCTTTTTGCAAACTCAATCTGAAGTGAGTCACTGAATAACTGCATGGCTCAAGTCTATCGGTGATACTAGAGATACCGTAATTTAAAAACGGCCGTCGAGAAATTAATTAAGGTTCAATACGTTCCAAACGTTTGCGTAATATCCGAGTATGTTGATCAAGTAGGGAATTTAACGATACTTGTAAGCATATTTGATAAGCACTCCATTGTTACTGGCCTGGTGCTGTTGTACTTCCATAACGATGCTAAAATTGATCTAACGTTCTAGGAGATCATTTGAAATGAACTTCATGGTAATGGTAACAGAAAATGAATAGTATATACAATTATTTAAGGATAGAGAAAACTTACTTCATAGCCGGCAAATGAAGATTTCGAGGGACATTGCATAGCAATTAACAGATTAACCAAAACTTACTTAATCATGTACCTCCTCCTCAACTTCGTTCACTTATCGATAAACTTGTCCTCAACCAGAGAAGCTTACTCTGTTATGCAGCCCCTCTTCGACAAGCCGAAACTGGAGTTTCCCAAGTGCCAGATCCTAATGGTCCAACCAGTAACAGCGGTGATACCGCTAACCGTTTAGCTGAACAATACTCTCAGATATTTCAACCGACCCAAATCAACTGTACTGATGAAAGCACCATCTGCAACTGCACAGGGCTCTACTAAGTGAACCTGAACGTTGACTTGGTGTACCAGAAACTACACCACCTAAACAAGGACACTTCTCCTAGTTCGGATATGGTTCGTTCTGCTTTACTGAGGGAAGCAGCTCCGATCTTGACAACACCTCTTAGTGTGATGTTCTCACACTCTCTAAGCCTAGGCAAACTACGAGAAATTGGGAAGCTGGCTCACATAACACCAATTTTCAAATGAGGTTGACGCAGCGAACCTTCAAACTACCAACCGGTACCACTTCTATCTATACCTCCCAAAATTACGGGATCCCTGACATCCTAGGGTAAACACAACTATTTATTATCCTCAAGCTCCTTTTCACCCCAACAGCATGGTTTCAGGAGAGCTCATTCTTGTATAACCAACCTGTTGACTGTGGTGGACAGATGGACAAGCATCCTTGACCGCAAGGGGAAGGCTTATCAAAAGGCTAAAACGATTGGGTATCAAACCACCTCCAATTGACGTGCTCACTTCATATCTAAAACACCGACATTTTAAGGTCAGGTTTGACTTCACTTTCTCTCAGGCTATGGGATGTCCAAGTGGGGTTCCCCAGGGTTCTGTACTAGAACCTCTTCTTTTCTTCATTTACGTAAACGATTCTCAACAACAGGTATCGTCTGACTTATTACTTTTTGCTGATGTTGTAAAACTTTGAAGAGAGATGGGCATTTAAGAGGACAAATAGGGAGTTCAGGAGGATCTGACTCGACCTCAAAGTTGGGCAGTTGATAACGGACTTACCTTCAACACTTCAAAATGTAAAGTAGTCCATCTGAGACATGTTACAGACTACAGTTACAAGTTAAGAAACTCCTCTCTGTAAGTACACCGAGTTGAAAATGATTTAGGATTGCTGGTACCCTACGATTTAAAGTCCTACGCTAACTGTAACAAAAATGCTTCTCGAGCAAACCTTACACTGGTAACATTGCAGCTCATTTTTGGCCAGTTTGACGGAAGAGATCTTCACTTGGTCTTCAACAATTTTATTCATTCAAATTTAGAGTACGGAAACATAGTATTTCCTCTCTCAATCTAAAAGGATAAGGACATTCTGGTAAGTATCCAACGGAATCAGTTCGGGGACTCAAATTCAAGCCATATGAAGAGCGCCTCCAATCGCTAAACTTTTACCCATTAAAGTATAGGCGTCTTAGAGGTGAACTTCTAATGGCTTGCAGTATCATTAACACTTCTGAACATCCTCCTAAACACCTACTTAAGTTTAGTTTTAACACAAACCTTATGGGTAACACCGAGAAAATGGAGACCCAACACAGCAGAACGAACTGTAGACAACAAATCCTACGTCTTAAAAGTTATCAAATACTGGAATTTTCTGCCGGCTGAGCTAGTCTAAACGACTTTATAGGAGTCTTTTAAGAAACAACTTGACCTGTTCTTAAGGACTAATGGTAACATATGATTATGATTTACCAAATTCTTTTTCCTCTATTATCGTTATCATACCAAGGTTACTTCCTGAAGGTATTAGTGATTCACTGTTACTAGACAAGGAAACATGTTAAGCGAAAACTTCTTCTATTCCGTCCACAACCATCTGAACCATCTGAACTTTGAATGCTGGAGCCCTATCCTGAACGTAGTAGTTCAAGGTCAGGCTGGGTAGGAAGATTTGAGCGGTCCTGATTTACATACTGTGCTAATTTTCTCGATCTTCTTGATTATATGGAATCTCTGATACCAGTCATAAACAAACTACAGGACGTGTTTAACACAGTAGGGTCCGAAACAATACAACTTCCTCAAATCGTTGTTTTAGGAACACAGGTAAATTTCCTCAGTTTATTTTCTCAGTAAATTTAATGAAATTAGATCTAGCTTTAAAGTTAGATTCTGTATCATATGACGTTTAAGAATTCAAATATGTCCGCGGAAAGCTCTTATTTTTCTTTAATGTTTCTGCTTTTTCAACGGAGTTATCTCATCAAGAACACCGTATATAATTGTGATGTTAAAGATCTTGGATATTATCTCCTGTGTGATCTAATTGTTTCAACTATGCATAACGTTACGATTAGTTGCTATGTGCGTGTTCATCGTTATACTTTAATAAGGGTCAGCTTGTATCTTTTAAAGGTTCTGGACGGGGTAGACTTTCTCTAAACGGACTTCTGTATCTAGTAGCAGTATATCACCGGTACATCCATTTAGAAACCTAGGTATATCTTAGTAATTTAAATCAGTGCCCTAGATCCTTAAGAATAGGTCAATTATCCTTCTGACAGACTCCTGCCAAGACGCTTGGACCACTTCAGCCAGCAGTGAATTTCAGAATTTGACTTAAGTCAACAGGTGTTAAATTTATTAATATTGACATTCTTTGAAGTTCAGTCTGACAAAAAGGAATTCAGAATATATGGACAAATGGATTTTTAAAGCCTAAAATCACATTTTTATGCAGGTGTCCTGCGTTTGATTGTTGAGCTATATGATTATGTTCAAACTTTTGGTTCTAAGACAAGGTGTGCAGTGTTTCTTTGAACTTTATGGTTTTTCAGTTTTTACTCAAGTCACTCGGTAGCCTATACGCTTCCGTCGGTTGATTTTTCGGTATGAAACACTTAACGCTTGTCATTGCTCTTTGTTTCCAGCTTTTAAACAAAAATTGATATAGTGGACAACCTTGTCGGACACCACTTAAGGTTGCAAAATCAGATGACAGTTCGCCATAAGCTCTAACTCGGCAGGCGGTGTTTGACTAAAGAGTCTTCACAAGGTTTATGCACTTCTGAGGTGCTCCTTTCAATGACAGACACTGCCAAAGAACCTCTCGGTCTATAAAGTCAAATGCTGCTTTTAAGTCAACAAAAACTATCATTGTCGCAAACTGACAAGCATGTCTGTGTTATAAAACCTGACGAATAGTGAATATGTGGTCGATGCAGCCATGACCAGGTCTGAGACCAGTCTGATTTTCTCGTGTTTACAGTTCACGAGTCTTTGTGAAGCGTCCGGTAATCATTGAGACTAGTATTTTATATACTGTATTAATTAAACTAACTATTCTATGGTTATCACAAAATGATTTTGACCCCTTCTTATATATTGGGACGATCAGTGACTGAGACCAGGCACATAAGATTACATCCAGTCCCCAGATTTTAGCTAAAATATCAGTCAACTTAATCGCTAAAACTGGACCACCATATTTAAAGACATCTGGAGCAAATCTGTCTGGACCAGCTGCTCTTCTTCATTTCTGATTAGTTATAGCCTTTCGAACTTCAGCTATAGTCGGAGAGCTTACTTCAACATTCCATTCAGACTGTCTGGGAATGGTGGGTAGTTGTAGAGTAGCTAAAAGGCAGCTAAAATGCTCTTTAGTGTTCCACCCATCTTTCTAAACGTCTAGGCTGAGAGCAGATAAGTGTCGTCTTTTTCCGAAATCGTCTCACTTTTACTTGACTTCTTAATTCCAGTTTCTTTTATTAGTCTGAAAAGTTGTCTCGTGTTGCCTACAGCCGCCTCATTTTTCATTTCTTTTGCTTTCGTTGCCCACCACTGCTCACGATCGTTCGGTAGACTTTAGGTTAACCTAGATCTGATTTGCTTTCGCTCTTCACCATGTTCGGAGCCTGGTGGGATGACTTGACGAGAATCCATCAGTGCAATAGACTCAGCAGAAATCCAATGGTTTTTCATAACCCTTTAGTTCAAATCACTAATGTCGTTGCTGTTTCCACAGCTGTTTGTGTATCTTTCCAAGCAGCATCTGGGTCAGCCTCGTTTACAGAACTGCCTAAATGTAAACTCAGTTGTTCCTGGAATTTACATTTGGATTTCTCGTCCCTCAGTTCAATTCTCATTGGTCTTCTTAATTTGACTTTACGATAGGCAAGCCCGACCACCACGTCGTAGTAACAGCAACGGTCGGGTCAATGTTTGGTGGTGTTAAGTAACGTGGAATAAACCAGTCTTAACTGTTCACTATCTTTTAAATCTTGAGTGGTGTCCGTTCGAACAATTTATTCTTCGATATCACTGGTTCTCTTTTAACTTCATCTCAAGTTTAGATTTTTGTTACAATTCAAACTTTGTAATCATAAAATTACAAAATGTTCTGTTTCTGCACTTACGTAAAGTGTGGCAACTAAAACCATTACACATTTATTTCAAGCTGTAACAGTGAAAACGGACTCAGCAGTCCGAGTCAAAGTCAGTAGGTTTGTTGATTGAGGTTGTGAAAACATGTTTATTGTATCATGTATTGCTTATTTCAGTCATTCACTACCCTCAACTTGATATCCTAACCTTAGAAATAGTAAACTACGAATGTGTTAAGGAACAATACTTGTCCATAAACTCACAAACTCGTGGTTTCAACTGTACAGAATAAGTAAGCTGTCTGAGTAATCCTTAAAAGTATAAAAATGACTGTTTTGAGACCAGTTTTTTCTATATTTTAGTTCTAAACATCTTGTCAATTTGCTCTTTACATGCTTTTGCTCAAATAATTGCTCTTTTAACCTATCCATTCTTACCATACTTACAGTTACAAATTATAAGAAATCAAACCGACAGACTTTTGTATGAGGTTCAATTCAGTTTTTTATGTTTTACTAAGCATTCGAATTATTTTACGCGAAGAATCCAAGCACTAATAAAGTAAAATTTCGCGTTAGTTTGTTTATACCACAGTTAGTTTTTACCACTCATAGTTCTATCAGGGAAATCACATGTCTTTCATATCACAGAATAATAACCTCACGCTTTTACTGATACTGTTTTATGGTGACCAAACATATGTGTGGTTAGGACGAACTACTTAAATATTGACTATACGTAGCAATTGATGGCGGTTCACGACATACTAAGGCAACAATTGATTTCTGCAAGTAAGCAGCAAGCTCTTGTGTTGATTACATTTAGATTGAACTTTGTGGTATTGAACGGTAGGCTCCTGACACCTTTATTAGATATAATCAAGTTTTCTCATCCAACATTAGCATTAATTTTGCTTTAGTGTTAGTTATTCGGATTATATAAGTTGTTCACTTATTCTTCAAGTCCTTCGTGGTCTTTACAGTAAAACGGATATTCTTCTCTTCTCTCACTCCCGGGTTTTTAGCCTAATGAAGGGATTAAAGTGATTTTCTCTCTAATTCTTATCTCACATTTAGAGCTCTGGAAAGAGTTCAGTTCTTGAAAACTTAGTTGGTCGGGATTTCCTGCCTAGAGGACATGGAATTGTGACGCGGCGACCACTTGTCTTACAACTTATCCATGTAGATGAGTCAGACCATGCTACACGGGTCGCAGAAGGTGATGGTACTTCAACCGAATGGGCAACATTCTTACACAACAAAAAGATATACCGGGATTTCGATGAAGTTCGTAATGAAATCAAAAGCGAAACAGATCGGGTTGCTGGGGCTGGAAAAGTATGTTTCGTTTAATTTACTTTCAATATGGGATATATTATTTTCACCTTATACTATGTAGTTGTAACATAAAGTGTACTGATAAGTGATTTGAATCAACAGATGGTTATTTCTTGCAAAGCTTATAGTTTCATGTAACGTTTATAGGTGAAGAGAAATCAGTAAGCAAAGCAATCGGTCACCAAGTTTTGTTCTCGCGTAACTTGCTCACAATATTTGAGTTGAATTAAAATTCTAAGCTTAATAAATAAGCGCTGTCAAATCAGCTCTTACTCACGTACGCCTGTTAACCCTCGTGGAGGAGCATAGGTTGCCCACTAGGATTCTCCAATCAACTCTATCCTGGACTCTCTTTTCCAACCGTTTCCAATCGCTATTCATTAATTTGATGTCCGCCTCCTACTCTCGATCCAATATTTCCTTGAGTCTTCCTCTTCTTCTTTTCCCTTCAGGATTTGAAGTTAGGGCTTCTTCTCCGAGTAGATCTTGTAAGACTTGGAACATTTTCCTGGGAGCTTTATATTAAATTCGTTGAGTTTTTCAGTATCTCGAAGGAAGACAGTGTTAAACGTTTGTAATGCCTGTTTCTGCAGTTATCTAGTGCTTCTGTAGCTTTAGTTTCATCTTGGTAACTACCAGGTGGTGATTTGAAGCTATATCAACCCCTCTCTTTGTACGCACATCTTTCATTGACCTGAATTTTTCACTGATGTAAATATGGTTGATCTGATTCTCTGTATTGTGACCCGGTGAGACCCATGTAGCTTTGTGTATGCGTTTGTGGGGGAATATAGTAGCACCTATAACTATTTTGTTGAGTGCATATAAATTTGCGAATCTCTCACCATTCTTGTTCATTTCTCCCAGTCTGTCCATGTCATTCCATGATATCTCCATACTGGATGTTGTCCATTCCGACTTTGACGTTTAAGTCACCGATCAGGATGGTCAGATCCTGAGCTATTCGTTATGATAGATTGCAGCCTCTCATAGAACTGGTCATTATCGTTTTCGTTTCAATCATTGGTGGGTGCATAACATTTGCTTGAATTATGTAAGGACTGTTCTTATCTCGGAGTGAATATCACCTTCAAGATGCAGAGACATTCACCACACGTCCCAAGTTGAACAGAACGCGCATCCTGGATCTTTTTGCCAGTCGCTTTATACCTAATCTATGTAAATTGTGTTTATGAGTTTTGTTCTCACCACCTAACTTGCTCGAAATTTAACTACTCGGATCATTGACCTACTATTGTACCCGTAATTTTTGACTTTCAATCTTCGATATATATTGAGCAACCTAGGTCATATTATTATTGAGAAGACACTGAGTGGCTAGAACAAGGTCTGTCTTCAGTTCAAAGGTTTAATGACTCGTTCTAAACCATGTAGCGGGAATGAAAACTTTGTCAAAGTTTGCAAGTCAGCCACAGTTTATAATTCAAAACAGTGATCTTGAGTGCTGTTAGAGATACGAGGGCAGTTATCACTTACCGGTTGCCCACACCGTGGAAGGTTTCTTCCAGAGGTACCTGAAAGGGAAATTGGATTAGAAGTGGTCTTAATGACCTGAGAGCATGACCGCAGTGCTCAAGGAACAACTGCTTTAGGTCGGTCATACACCACCTTTTTGTGGGCAATTTTTGTGTCAGGGCGTACTTGTTGGAACCTTATCGCCGGAGACAGATAACCGTGGGATAAGGCGAGGTGTGCATTTTTAGGGTCGACCTATTCTAACCCCACCCCTCCTTGTGGGAAGGCAGCATCTCTGTTATGCTGGTTGTCTGAAGTAAACACCTTACTGCTGTTACGCCTCTGTACAGTCAACAGCACGACTTCACCTTCGGACCTTGGGTTTTCTGCTTTTAATCTTACCGCTCTTCAACCGACCTGCCTGGCATGGTAGGACCTTGAGGAACGATTGTTCTAGCCAGTATAGCTCGATTGGTTCATTATGATAGACAAGCCCGACCACCACGTCAAGGTAGCAGCAACCTTTATTTTATACATAAACACCACTAAATTAACTAATTCTATGAATTCGATGTTCATCTTGTTGTGCTAACAAGGTATGGCAACTTGGACCGATGCATATTTGTGCCTGATCCTACACTGTAGCTGACTGATAATTCAAAACATGATTGTTTTATTCACAATTAGTTGTAACAACATATATGCATCCATTTTGACTATCCGATGAAACTCGTTGGCAAATACCGGTATTCTCGTAAGGACCATGTTTTGTTTCATTTTATGAGTTTCTGCTGCGTTATTACTTAATTTTTATTTCAAATCTCGTATAGACTGCCACGCAGACTTTGCAATTGCAGTCAGTTTCACTAGGCGTTAAATTTTAACAATTCTAATAAAATCCTTATGTTACTTTTAGGCTGTAAGCTCCGAGCCTATCAACTTAAAAATATTCAGCCCATCTGTTCTCAACCTCACTTTGGTTGATCTTCCTGGCATTACAAAGGTTCCTGTTGGTGATCAGCCTGAGGATATTGAAACATTGATCAACGATTTATGTCTTCATTACATTAACAATCCTAACAGTATAATTTTAGCTGTTACACCGGCCAATGCAGATATGGCTACCAGTGAAGGCCTTAAGCTGGCCAAAACAATCGATCCTGACGGTAAGTCGTGTCATATCTACTTGATAGAGCATAACACGTAAAATATGTTATCCATTTGTCGGACAAATTAAGACGGAATAATATTTTATAATGGGCGAAGTTACTTATAAATTTGTTCTTGATAATTTGAGGTTAAATTAACTCAGTTTTCCTTAGATTTTGATGAGATTTTATTGATCATATATTTAATCTAAGCATTTCAGTGATGTATGTTGTTAATGAATGATATTTAGTTTATAATTCAGTTGTTTAATGAATAATGGCATGGCAGTTAAAGTAATCTTCATTGGGATTCAGGTACATGTAGTTATTAACTTAATTAAAACTCAACGTAGAACCTACTACTTATATACATCGGTTCAAGTTGCCATACCCCATTATCACAGTTAGATGAAATTGTTAAGACGAATCCCAGAGTAGTAAAGGTAGTAACAGTATAAGCGGTAATACAAAAACTTGACATCGGCCTCGTGGATTCCGAAGGAACTCGGCTTTCACCATGAGGCTTCATAACTGTTCTAAATGAAGACCTTCTGACTCCCATGGCAGAGTTTAAATAGTTTGAGTAATTTTTTCTGGTTAGCTTTTTTAGCGAGTTAGTTTTCTACGGGATGGGGTCACTAACCACATGCACAACCCTCCTCCTTTATCCGGGCTTGAGACCTGCAGTAACCCCAGAGGGGCTCCAGGCTAAGTTGTAGATGAGCCAAATGCAGTCAGTCAGTTACAACGCAGAACTTCGTACGTACGTACATCAGTTCGAGCTGCCATACCACATTAGCACAGAGATGAAGTTGTCGATTCAAATCCCATAGTGGTAGAAGTAGTAAGAGTATAAGCATTATGTGAAAGATTAGGGTTTGAAGATGTTATTCAAGGAGTATAATACAGTGAAATAAATTTGGAAAGAGAAAAATGATATGGACATGGATAATTCAGAAGACTATAATTTGGCACAACACAAAGAGTGGATGCACCTTCGCAATTCCAAATGATTTTGAGCCATGTCATTCAAGGTCTCTAACCATCGGTAGCTATCATCTCGCGAATCCCAACCAGGTAGTCTACACCTACCAACATGGCTCAATCCACTTGCACGTGACTTCATGGATTTATGCCATGTTTTGGTCTGGCCGCAACTAGCTTTCTTCCAACCTACTCCTACACCATAAAGCATTGCACGTCGGGGCAGTCGGTGGTTGGGAATACGTAACACATGTCCCAGCCATCTCAACTGATGAAGTTTCACTACTTCAATCGATTCGCCATCCTTACCTAGTACTCGTTTCCTAACAACTGCATTACTTACCCGGTGGTCCCAGGATATACGAGCAATGCGTCGAAGACACCTATGATCGAACACTAGTAGCCTACGAATATCCTCTACTCTTATCGGCCATGTTTCACTGCCGTAAAGTAGGACGGAACGGACTGCTGCACAGTAAACCCGTCCTTTTGTCGCTAAACGGATATCTCGCCTACTCCATAAATGGCGCAAGTTGGCGAAAGCTAGACAAGCCTTCTGTATCCGTGCTGAGATCTCGTCACACACCAGACCACAAGGGCTGATGAGACTCCCAAGATAAGTGAAGCTGTCAACACGCTCAACTACTTCACTCCCTATCATTAGTTCAGGTGTCGATGCAACCCAATTCTGAAGTAACATTTTGCACTTCGAGGGAGAGAATCGCATCTCGAACATGCCTGCATAGTTGCTTATAGTGGTCAGAAGACTCTGCATTTTGTCAGAGTCTTCACCGAATAAAACTACGTCGTCGGCGTATTCTAAGTCAACAAGTGAGCCTACTGGTAAAAGTTCAACTCCAGGAGATTGAGATGATGAAAGTGATACCTCTAAAAGCATGTCAACGTCAAAGTTAAACAAGAATGGGGATAGTGGACAGCCCTAACGAACACCGCTTGAGGTAACCAATTCTGATGACAGTTCGCCATAGGCTCTAACTCGACCACCAAATGCAGTGATAATTACTGATAAGAACAAGTGGTTACATAATTAGCTGACATGTTTAAGAGAAATCAATTTAATAAATGAAAGTTAATGTTTGGTCAGAAATAAAATTATATATTAGGTGTTATTATATCTCGATAGTTATTTCTTGCAGAACAACAAATCGTTGATTCTTCTCTCTCCTTCTCTATACACAGGTTTTAAACGTTTAAAGGAAATGACCTTTCCTAAGTAAATAAATCGTGATGTTTCTCATTGTCAATTATTTTTATAGTTTTGAAAATATCCACTTTTATCCATTATTCATTAACTGGAGATATTTACGTATTATGGGTTTCTTATTTTATTTATTCTGCTTAGGCCGCCGAACTTTATGTATTCTTACTAAGTTGGATCTAATGGACCATGGAACAGACGCCCACGATCTTTTATTGGGGCGTGTGGTTCCAGTTAAACTCGGGATAATTGGTGTTGTCAATCGTTCTCAAGCCGATATTAAGGCGGGTAAAAATATTGACGAGGCTTTACAAGATGAGGCCAGTTTTCTGCAACGGCGTTATCCATCTCTTGCTAGTAGAAATGGCACCCCATTCTTGGCACGGACATTAAATAGGGTATGTTATTACACTATTGTATTACAATTTTATATATGTAAGAGTATTAACTACTCTGTGCTAGCTGCTACTGAATAAATTTCTCTCCAATCTGTAAATGATCTGTTATTTAAAATTCTTTTTTACCCCACTTCTGTTGTATGTGGGTTTAGCGTAAATCATAGCAACTAAATGAAACATTTGTGATCAGGTCTTTTAGTTCTGTTCATTCAACTACGAACTGTGCTAACGCGTTTAGGAGGTTGATTAGTCACAAGAGAAGTAAAGGCAGAGAAAGTTAGTATTATGGGTAATGCACTTTTAGAGAAAACACTCAAATGTCTGATACGGAGTTCCTACACCGTTTTTGTAATAAATTTCCAACATTCATAGATAATTAGACGCTGAAAAAGTGAGAAAACTGTATTGCGAATACATGATTTGTTTTAAATTAGTTTGTGTACATAAATCACCATCTATTTATTTCGTTATGGTCTGATGTGGTATTTTGTAGACTTCTAGATCAGCTGCATAATTTGTTAACAATTTTTGTGTTTGTCTAATCATATTAGAAAAGAAGTGTTTACCCTTTTAATAAATTAGTTGTTATTTAGGTATTGATTTGCGGGAAGGTGTTTAGAAGTATTTGGGACTTTTTAGAGATTCGGGATTTGAATCCATCCATCTATTAAGTCGTATTATTGGCTGGCCCTAGACAGTGATTCAAATAAACTCAGTGTTTACTTTTCTAATACTACATACTTTTCTTTCTATTTTTTAACTCTATGAATTTATCGTTTGTTATAAAGCGGATGTATTGTTTTAATTTCATTAGTCGATGCACATTGTATTCGTGAACTTTAGAGCGACATTGTTACTTATTCTTAAACTATCTCAATAGTTGGTGAGTTTCCAACTTAGAAGCCAAAAATTCATAATTTGTATTTGATTTTGTTTTCATCGTATTGTTTTAAGTAGATGAGTTTAATTTTCGTTTTAGTTTGTAAAACCCATGAAACCTCTGATGTTTATTGTAAGCCATTTTAGGTGTTTTTTTTCTTAATTACAATACACAAGTCAACTCTAGTTAGTAGTTAGAGACTATAGGGGATGTAAACCTACAATTATTAGTATCATTATTCTCAGTTTTCTTTATCGCTATGTTAGTGCTAAGTGTGACAGCCGTGATTTATAATATTAGTCATAGGTCCTGTATGTAATATGTTTACTTTCTGCGAGATTGTACCTTGAATTTTCAATATCTGCCTCACGCTAAACCACATTGTGAAACCTACAAAAATAAGACCGTACCACAAAATTATAAAAAGTAGCCAGAAATGTGATATTAATTCAGAATCGATCACTAAAACAACCAATATAATCAATTGTCATAAGATTTCACTATCTAAGGTCAGCTCACTGAAAGCTAAGTCAACCATTTAAAAGAAAGGACAGTAAATTAATTTTATCTAAATTATTTGTCGAACATATTTACTAAATGTGGTAAGTCCTATTTTATGGTAAACATTAGTCGATACTATGTGTATTTTGTTCTAAAAAAGATACTTTAATAAATTGGAATTTTGTGTAATAGTAGTCGTAAACATCGATGTTCTAGAAAGTTCTGTTGATTTATTAGAAGTTAATATTATGCTTTTATATTATATTATATTTTTTGAAAGCTTTTAATGCATCATATACGGGATTGTTTGCCGGACTTGAAAACACGTGTAAATGTAATGGCTGCACAATTTCAGAATCTTTTAAATACATTCGGAGATGAAATCGAAGACCGAGTAAGTTTATTGCTTTATGTTTATGTTATAACGTATGAACTCGTAATATATATGAATGTGCAATTGGAGAGGAGTGAATTTATACTGATCGGACGCAAATGATACTTGAAATCGTACGAGCAGTCTTGAGTGCGTATCGGCCCTGCTATCTGCCTAGCCCAGCCACTTGAGTCCAGAACACAAATAACAGCCTCGGCAATATGAATCACTATTTACAAACATACTGGGTTTTTATACAAACCAAAGTAATCAATTGGTCGATAAATAGTCCATTCATAATTCACCAGGGGATATAACAGTTTACCCTTCCCTTAGTTTTATTGTTCATGAAGTAAAATACTTTCACTTGAAGCTACCTATTATCACCCATTTTTTAATATCCATTCAGCGGGTGTGAAAATATTGTCATGAATTATGCATCAAATGTGAATAATTACATTTTGTTTCGTAGCATGAATTTTTTATTTAAATGTGGCCAATATTTTGGTCAACACCTGAACTAATGGTAGTTTATTTTCGGATTTTTGTTTCTTATTCTCGTATTATCCTCTTTACTACTATTTTCTTCTGTCAAATGATTATTTTAGCTTCATAACATCTTTTAAGGTGAGAAAATAGAAATTCCTGATCTTTTCACTATTTTATCGACTTCATTTCTTTATTTCTAATGTGTTCTAGAACACAGTTTTACTAAGATAATATGTTATTTGTCATCAGGATAGGGTTGTGGAGACGGTTAAGTTTTAATTAAGATCACGAACCGATCAATGTTATACCACCATTGAAAACCTGGAAGCACTGGACGGCCGTTTCGTCCTAATATGGGACTCCTCAGCACTGCGCATCCATGATCCCGAACACGGACTCAAATCAAAAACTTTCGGTCTCGCGCGCGAACGCTCAACCTGCAAATTTTAACTTCAACTAGTGGAAATTTATGCATACTATCTATATTTAATTTTCCACTATATGCAAATGTTAGAAGAACATATTACAAATAAATGTACTCGTCTAACGTGCTGATTTTGTCAACAACTTAACAAGTAAAAGAAGTTGAAAAAATGAACGTCAAATTTACGTCAACTAAAATTCCTCCAAACCCATAGAGGGATCAGATTATTTTGGAGTCTATCTAAAATTTCCAGTCACATCGTGAAACTCACCATCTTACTTATACAAGGTAGGGTTTAGTGTTTCTAACCTAGCCTTCTGCACTAAGTTTGTTAATCATAATTCTATTAAATGCTGTCTACAGTGTTTGTGATGTTAAGTTGGCTGTCATATCCCTATTCATCGAGTTGTATTCGCTTATAATTTCCATTTACAGGTTCAGAGAATACTCCAAATAGATAAATTCATGTACGATTTTTTAAAGCTATCCTTGTTTAATACCAGAGCAACATGATATTTAGGAATGAAAGAAATCTGTTTCATTTCCTATTTTCAAGCGTTATTTAGTGAGACTAAATATCCTTGCATAAGTACGTTATTAGTTGCTTTTTTGAAATATTATTTATTGTCGTTTGACAAAGACTTAGAAAACGCTTTAAATACTGGATTATTAAGTACGAACCGGATTTTGTCGAAGTAATCAATGTAATAATATATGTTCATCCATCAGTTCGTCAAAGCCTGTATTATAAACGAACATTTATCACATTTCTTGAAATGAAACCTATCTTTGTCTTTGATTTTTTGACCAGAATTGTTCTGTAAATTTTTATTGACAAGGTGTACTTAAACTTTCATCTATATATTCATAAATGGTACAATTGGAGTAAGATTATGTAGCTAACAGTACTTGATTTTTAAAATTTAATTACATACATAGTGTTCAAAGTGGATTTATCAATGTGGTGATTGCTTTTGCTTTACACCTTGGAATTCTTAAGAAGCTTTATGGAAATCGGTCATTCTACTCACCTTCATTGGTGCATTTTTTAGCTATCTGAAAACCCCATATGTCAGAATATTTATGGTATTACTGTCTCTTCTTGTTGCTGAATCCAATTATAAATAAATCTATTTTTTAGAAGTTTTCTGGATTATGATTTAAATCTTTTTTAAATCATGAACTTCATTTATTTCGTCATCCCTTACATAAGTCATACAATGCGTTTTTAGTCTACTTGTAATTTCTCTAACAGGTTGGTTGGGAAAATTTCATTAATTAGAGAAACAAACGATGTCTAAAGTTTTATCTATCACATAAACATGACGACAGTTTGATTGTATTTACGGGTCAATACGAATGTCAAATTAAAACTTTAAATGTTCAACTACTGATTTTCTGCTACTCACGTTGCTGACTGTATGTATGTCAGTTTAACAAGTTCCTCTTAGAACGTTTTCAAACTAGTCGGCCTGGTTTAGCAGTATTGCATTTTGTCAACATTTATAATGGCCTTGAGAATCGACAATTTAATTCGATGAGCGTGTTAGTTTACTTCACATGCATTATGTGGAGTTAAATGTCATTATATCAGATTGTCGTTTGTCTATTCATCACACTTCCTGGTATAATGTGACATGAGTTAAAGTATCATGGCCCAAAACCTGTTGCAGGAACTCAGATTTTTAACTTACGATTAGACTTTGTAGCTATTACGCTGTAATTTTGTTTTCTGTTTAGATAGTGATAACTATCCAGGTGCTTCTTTTCCGGACAATTTGTTTTATTTCCTATGTTCTTCTTTTTCCAATACTTTTATAATGTTTTTATGTATTTTCTGTGCGGTGTGTCTTGATACGTATCCCGTATTATATAGCATTATTGAAACTAGAACAAACTAGAAAAGTCCGAATTTTAGGGTGATAGTTATTTAACATATGAATGCTTAGCCTGTTTGTTTGCAAACCTAAAGGCTGAAGTGGGAATTCTTTTTTTTAAATGAATATAACGGCAGTGATCGCTCATAATTTATACGAAACCTAATGGTTGGACAGACTTTCAGTCATAACAATCACTGAAGATTCCGTCAGTGATCTAGAGGTTAAGCGTTCGCGTGCGAGACCGATAGGTCCTGGGTTCGAATCTCGCGGGGCGGGATCGTGGATGCGCACTGCTGAGGAGTCCCGCACTAAGACGAAACGGACGTCCAGTGCTTCCAGGTTTTCCATGGTAGTCTAATTCCAATTGACTCATAATTTCGACTAGATAGTCAGGATTTGCAAAAAAAAAACAAATCTACACGAGTGAAATCGATCGACACTATTTGATATTGTTTTGTTTGAACACAAATAATAACTAAGCCTTCCAACCGATAGACTGTATTTTTGAAGCAATTCGTAACTCATTAATTCGTGAAGCTGGGAACAGTTATGAAAGCTAGCATATGGAACATTAGCAGTCCTCATTTTAAATCAGTCAGTCAGTCAGTCAGCTACAACGTAGGACCAGGCACATTTATGCATCGGTCCAAGTTGTCATACCTCGTTAGCACAACAAGATGAACACCGGGTTCATAGAAGTAATTAATTTAGTGGTGGTAGTAGTATATAAATTATAGGTTGTATATAAGGATATAGTACAGGAAGGAAGAGAGATATGAAGCAATTTTAGTCTCAAGGTTTAAAGGAAGATAAAGAGTGTATACACCTACGCCATTGTGATCGATTCTGAGCCATCTCACCTAGAGTCTCCAACCATTGGTTACGATAGTCACGCGGACCCCAACCAGGTAGTCTGCATCTGCCAACATGGCTCAGACTAGAAGTTAGTGACTTCAAACACTGATGCCATCTTTTGGTTTGGCCGCCCCTAACTCTCTTCCAACAATCCCCTACACTAGTCATCATAGCGCGTCGTGGTAATCGGTGTTCAGGCATACGTAACACATGGCCCAACCATTTCAGTCGATGAAGATTCATCACCTCATCAACTGATTTACCATCGTTCCCTAATACCCTGCATCTAACCTCACTATTACTTACCCGGTGATCCCAGCAGATGCGTGCAATATTTCTAAGACATCTGTGGTCAAATACTAGTAACCTACGAGTATCTTCTACTCTTAATGGCCATGTTTCACAACCGTAAAGTAGAACAGAGCGAACTGCTGCGCAGTATACTCGTCCTTTAATTGATAGACGGATATCTCGTCTTCGCCATAGGTGACGTAAGTTGGCAAAAGCCAAACGAGCTTTTCGAATCCGTGCTGAGATTTCGTCAGACACCAACCCATTAGGGCTGATCAGACTTCCAAGATAAGTGAAGTTGTCAACGCGTTCGACTACTTCACTCCCTATCCTTAGTTCAGGTGTTGATGCAGGCCAGTCCTGGAGTAACAATTTACATTTGGATGGGGAGAATCGCATCCCAAACATCCTGGCATTAAAACTGAGTTCCAACAGAAGACTCTGCATTTTGCCAGCGTCTTCACCAAACAGGACTATGTCATCTGCGTATTCTAAGTCGCTTAGTGGTCCCCCTGGTAGAAGATCAATTCCTGTAAATTCAGTCGAAGAGAGTGTTATTTCCAGCAACAGGTCTATAATGAAGTTAAACAAAAATGGGGATAGTGGACAGCCTTGACGGACACCACTTCAGGTTGTAAAATCATATGACAGTTCGCCATAAGCTCTCACTCGACTGGTAGTGTTCGAGTAAAGAGTCTTCACAAGGTTTATGTACTTCTCAGGTACACCTTTCAATGACAGACACTGCCACAGAACCTCTCGGTCTACAGAGTCAAATGCTGCTTTCAAGTCAAGAAAAACTATCATTGTCGGACGCCGATAAGCGTGTCTGTGCTCTAAAACTTGACGAATGGTGAATATGTGGTCGATACAGCCACGACCAGGTCTGAAGCCAGCCTGATTTTCTCGTGTTTGCAGTTCACGAGTCTTAGTTAGGCGCCCGATAATTATTGAGGCTAGTATTTTAGATGCTATGTTGGTCAGACTAATCCCTCTATGGTTATCGCAGGATGATTTTGACCCCTTTTTATATATTGGGACAATCAGTGATTGTGACCAGTCGGATGGGATTACATCCGTCTCCCAGATTTTAGCCAGAATATTAGTCAACCTAATCGCTAAAATCGGACCACCATATTTAAAGACCTCTGGAGCCAATCCATCTGGACCAGCTGCTCTTCCTCGTTTCAGATTACCTATAGCCTTTTGAACTTCAAGTAGGGTCGGGGGGCCTACTTCAATGTTCCATTCAGGTTTTCTGGGGATAGTGGGTAGTTGTGCAGTAGCTGAAGGCCAGCTAAACTGCTCCTTAAAGTGTTCCGCCCATCGTTCTAAACGTCTGGGCTGAGAGCAGATAAGGGTTCCGTCTTTTTCGGAGATCGTCTCACTTACACTTGACTTCTTAATTCCGGTTTCTTCTATTAGTCTGAATAGTTGCCTGGTGTTGCCTACAGCCGCTGCCTTTTCCATCTCTTTTGCTTTCGTTGCCCACCACTGCTCACGATCGTTCCTTAGACTTTTAGTTAACCTAGATCTAATTTGTTTACGCTCTTCGTCATGTTCAGAGCCTGATGGGATGAGTTTACGCGAATCCATCAGTGAAATAGACTTAGAAGAAATCCATTGGTTTTTTGGAGCCCTATGGTTTAAATGACTAATAGGTGTTACTGCTGTTTCCACAGCTGTTCGTATGCCTTTCCAAGCAGCATCTGGGTCAGTCTCGTTTACAGAACTGCCTAGATGTGAACTCAGTTGTTTCTGGAATTCGCATTTGGCTTTCTCGTCCTCCAGTTCAATCCTAATGGGTCTTCTTAGTGTACTTTTCCTGCATCCATTGAGGCGCAGACAAATGCGCGCTCGTATTAAAGCGTGATCAGAGTCTAAACAAGTATTCCAATACGAGCGACAATCTTCTATTGAGCCTCTCCAACGATGACTGATGACAATATGGTCTGTTTGAGTCCATCGTTGGTTTGGTGCAGGTGGTCGCCATGTTAGACGATGTCTCTCCTTATGTTTAAAATTAGTGCTTGCTAAAAATAAACGATTGTCTGAGCATAGTTGCAACAGACGATCACCATTATCGGTTCGTTGAGCCGGAATACTAAAACACCCACCTAAATGTCTTTCTGTTTGATTCAAGCTGCCTACCTGGGCATTAAAGTCACCCGCTATGAGTACTATGTCTGAGCGCTTAGCTTTCTGAAGAAGCTCAGAGAGCTTTCTGTAAAAGTCATCTTTCATTTCATCATGGCTGCAGTCGGTGGGAGCGTAGGCAGAAACGACGAAAAGGCAACGACGTGTGTCCCTATCCTTCCGAGTTCTTACGGAGCCATTCAGCCGGACAGCACACAGGCGACTGTTAACGGGAATCCATTCTAATAGTGCCTGTTCTGCCCTTGTACTTAGTGCTATGCCTACACCTGCAAGTCCGCGAGAACTAGCCAACGAGTCGCCAGATACACGGAGGGTGTATTTCGTTGGCTGTCCATTTTGGCGAGGTGAGGTCAAGTGAATGACCACACTGGGATCCTGTATGCGTGTTTCGGAGACACAGCATACATCAATGGTACGAGATTCTAGGGTTTTAGCTAAGGAGGCCTGTTGACCGATTTGGCATAGGGTACGTACGTTGAAGGCTCCAATGTGTTGTTTGGAGCGAGGTTTAAGTAGACCTGGGACAGCGTTCCGCGCACTAGAATCGTTGGCCATGGTGACACTTGAGGAGGAAACCGGAACAGGAAGTTTAGCGTTGAAAGTCAAGGTAGAAGGAATAGTAGGAATTGAAGGAGATTGATTATGAATACGGTGGTCTTGAGTGCTGTTAGAGGTATGAGGGCAGTTATCACTTCCCGGTTGCCCACACCGTGGAAGGGTTCTCCTGGGGGTACCTGAAAAAGAAATTGGGTTAGAAGTGGTCTTAATGACCTGAGAGCGTGACCGCAGTGCCCAAGGGACAACTGCTTGAGGTCGGTCACACACGACCTTTTTGTGTGTAGTTTTTGTATTAGCTCCGTTCTTCAAAAAAAACCTTACCGTCGGAGACGGAAATCCGTGGGATAAGGCGAGGTGTGCATTTTTAGGGCCGACCTTTTCTAACCCCACCCCTCCTTGTGGGAAGGCAGCATCGCTGTCATGCTGGTTGTCTGAAGGAAACACCTTACTGCCGTCACACCTCTGTACAGTCGACAGTACGACTTCGCCTTCTGACCTTGGGTATGCTGCTTTCAGTCTCACCGCTCTTCAACCGACCTGTCTGGCATGGTAGGACCTTGAGGAACGATTGTTTCAGCCAGCATAGCTCGATTGCTTCATTACGATAGGCAAGCCCGACCACCACGTCAAGGTAGCAGCAACGGTCGGGATCATTTTAAATCAATCAATTCAATTTAAAAGTAACTGTAGTTATTTCCGGCTACAGTTAATTAGAAGAAGATTAATCTGTTGCTCCTTATTTTTAGGGAATGTAACATATTATATACCAAATATTTTAATTTATAAGAAACCTTTCATGTATGTAAAAATTCAAATCCACTCAATTGAATCTTATGTGGTTAGTTGCAGATGTCTATGTCAGTGGGGAATTACTTACTTACTTACTTACGCCTGTTACCCCTCGTCGAGGAGCATAGGCCGCTCACCAGCATTCTCCATCCAACTCTCTCCTGAGCCTTCCTTTCCAGTTCTTTCCAGTTGCTCTTCATCCTTTTCATATCGGCTTCTATTTTCCGGCGTAGTGTGTTCTTTGGCCTTCCTCTTTTCCGCTTCCCTTCCGGATTCCAAGTTAGGGATTGAGTCGTGATGCACATTGGTGATTTCCTTAATGTATGTCCGATCCACTTCCAACGTCTTTTCCTTATTTCCTCTTCAGCTGGAAGCTGGTTTGTCCTCTCCCATAAAACGCTGTTGCTGATAGTATCCGGCCAATGGATGTTGAGTATTTTGCGTAGACAACTGTTTATAAATACTTGTACCTTCCTGATGATGGCCGTAGTAGTTCTCCACGTTTCAGCTCCATACAGTAGGACTGTCTTGACGTTCGTATTAAAGATTCTCACCTTGAAATTGGTTGAGAGTTGTTTTGAGTTCCATATGTTCTGCAATTGTAGAAATGCTGCCCTTGCTTTGCCAATCCTTGCCTTTACATCTGCATCCGATCCTCCTTGTTTATCAACGATGCTCCCCAGGTACTTGAATGTTTCCACCTCTTCCAGAGTTTCGCCATCAAGTGTGATTGGGTCGGTGTTCTCCGTGTTGCATTTGAGAATCTTGCTTTTTCCTTTGTGAATGTGGAGGCCTATCGATGCGGAGGCTGCTGCTACATTTGCTGTCTTCATCTGCATTTGGTCGTGTGTATGAGAGAGGAGGGCTAGGTCATCTGCGAAGTCCAAATCATCTAATTGATTCTGAGAAGTCCATTGTATTCCGTATTTCCCTTCAGATGTCGAATTCGTCATAATCCAGTCAATCACTAGAAGGAAGAGAAATGGGGAGAGTAGACAGCCTTGTCTGACTCCGGTCCTTACTGGGAATGCATCTGTCAGCTGTCCTCCATGCACCACTTTGCACTGTAATCCATCGTATGAGTTTTGGATAATGTTGACGATCTTCTGAGGAACTCCATAGTGTCGAAGAAGTTTCCACAATGTTCTCCTATCCACGCTGTCAAACGCCTTCTCATAGTCAATAAAGTTGACGTATAGTGATGAGTTCCACTCAACTGATTGTTCAACGATGATCCGTAGTGTCGCAATCTGGTCAGTGGGGAATTAACTTGTGAATATATTAAAACCCAACTTTTTGTTACATCGTTACAAAGATTCAGAAACTCAACTCTTCTCTCTAAGCTTATTTATTAGAACATCACTTACAGTATACTTTATCCTTTTAGGGACAACTTTTGCTGCAGATTATTACAAAATTTAATACTGCTTATTGTAATACAATTGACGGAGTTGCGAAAGATATTGAAACGACTGAGTTGTGTGGTGGAGCTCGTATTTGTTATATATTCCATGAAACCTTCTATCGAACGTTGAGTAAAATCGATCCTTTGGGTGGTTTATCAACTCTTGATATTCTAACTGCAATACGAAATGCTACCGGACCAAGACCTGCTCTATTTGTGCCAGAGGTTTCTTTCGAATTGTTAGTAAAACGACAAATCAGGCGCTTAGAAGAACCGAGTTTACGATGTGTTGAATTAGTCCATGAAGAAATGCAACGCATCATTCAGCATTGTGGTGCTCAAGTGAGCAATATATTGAATCTATATATTTTTCGGCGTTATTTCATTTTTGTGTAACCATTCTATATATTTGGAAAAGATATTGTAAAACCATAATTGTATACGTTTCCTACCTTTTTGTGCGACAATCGTTAGCTCATAGTTGTAGTATTTTTGACAGCCCACATTAAGTGCCAACTTTTTTTCCATCAATCAAACTAGAATCCAAATATATTCATATAGATAAATAATGTACGTTGAATTTTGATCGATGTTCGAGCGTTACAATTAACACAGAGAAACAATGAATTTCTGACGTTTTGCTACCGAGTGTAGGTCGTCTCTTCAGAGAATGGATAAATGGAATTAAGCTAACATAATATTTTATTAATATTATACGAAACTTCTGAAATTCAATGTTTTACTCATTGGAATATTACTAATGTTTTATTATCATAGACAATACACCCAATACCGAACTTTTCTTATTTTCTCTGGTTCAACCTTGATAATGTTAATTACCATTAAAGCACAAACATTTTGACCAGAACTTTGGTAAATCATCCGATTTCTGAGTGAAAGTATTCAAATATCGATTTTTGCTTACAGAACCAATAACCGTTATTCAAGCTTCTCATCTGGGAAAACTTATCTGGGAACAATACCGTTTGGATCGCTTCAGTGTTACCTGTCAGTATAGAAAAACAAAACAAAAATGACTTTCCATGATAATCAGAAGCAGTATTTGTGAAAATACGATACGCTATCATTCTTTGTTTCATTTCTCCGTGATCTGTTCAATTTACTCATTCCACTCCTTAAACATCGTACTACTATATACCGTACATTCATCGCTGTTTTTACCTTTCAAGAGACTCCCGAATAATAGTAATTCAGGCAGCTACTGATTCCAATTGGAAATCACAAGTACAACCCTTTCAAATAATTACCATGATAAATCCATCAGTCAATCATAATCGAAGTAAAGCCAGATAAAAATCTGCTTTATCTCATTTATCATAGGAAAAATTCTTCTCTGTGCATTATATACGAATGATTTAATGTGACAAATAGGATAGTTTAAGGATAGTGAATTTCCGAAGTAATAGAATATAAAGAAGGGTTACTAACCTGCGTTGATCATCCTCGAAGGTACATCAGTGGGTTAATAAATGTGTTTATGAATAATTCTTGTTGCTAGTGTAAATCGATCTAGTTAGCAATATAAAGCACTCTTAGACACGAATTTACGTGTTGAATGTATTCTGAAATCTGTAGACTTTTACATCATTTCGATCAGAAAGAGTGAATACAGGTGTGAATTATACCTAAAAGTCGTAATTCAAAGTAGATTGTAGAGCTGTCATGATTGATTTTGTCCAATTGTTTATAACATCTAAATGTTTTATTTTTGTGTCAATATTTTGTATGTAAGCATGCAATTATATTTCGCAAAATAAACCTATTTCTCTGGCCAGTGGCCTGGTCCTTAATCTTAGTTCATTCGGTGGAGTTTAAGTCAATAATAGCAATAATAGTAAATAGCACCCATCTATCGATCAACATCATTAATCCTAAACCACAAAATAAATAGATTTGTTCAGTTGGCTGAGCTACAGGTCATTATTTATCAGTATCCAATTATTGGTGACATTTATCATTGATTTCCTTAATGTTTATACTAAGTTTCACGAATTCATCTCAGTTTTTTCATTTACCTATAGCAAGAACTCCTTCGGTTTCCGAAACTGCACGAACGTATAGTCGATGTGGTCACTTCTGTATTGCGCCAGCGCCTGCAACCAACCAATCAAATGGTTACTAATCTAGTCGCTGTTGAGTTAGCTTATATAAATACTCGACATCCTGACTTTCTGGAAGCGCTAAGTACACATCGGCAACAGGCTCCAGGATTAGAGAATCTGGTAATTTTTTCCTGGTTTCGAAATTTCTTAATGTTTATTTTAAAATTAAACTAATTTTCTATTAAATTATGGGTCACTTTTCATACTTACACTATTTTATGTGGTGTGTTAATGGTTTTTGTAATCTATTTGTTTTTTTAGTAGTTGGCTTGTTTAAAGAACCCTGCTTGACTTTCATCTACTGGGCTAAGAGTTTGAATCCCGCTTTTGTTCAGGCAGTTGGGTAACATCAGTAACCTTCACAAAATTGTTTGACTCAAAGCCGAGCGCATAAATCCGTATTTAGTTAGTGGATTAAATGAAATTATTTTATCCAGTTATTAAGTAAAATTGTATCCATTATCTGTGATTTTAATATATCTCTGTTAAATATTGTTTATGGCTTAAACACTTAGTAATTGTAAAATAAAAAATCTCAGGTTCATTTAGAATGTTAGTTGTATATTTGATTAATAGTTTCTCTAATACTATTTTCAAGACAACTATAGACATCAAATCTTGATTTTACTTCATGACCTATTACGTATCAAAATTTTAGAGCTATTTTCCTTTATCTTAATTTATTTCACGCAATAAATCGATATATCTCGGGTCTTTCTCTTGGCTCAGAACTAAACTTTATCTATTGGAAATGTTGTGAGCATCTTATAGTTCAATTAAGAAATTACTAACAATCGATGAAAAACTTGTCAGTATTACCACCACCATCATTAAACCCTACAACTTGACGAAAATATTAAAAACAACTTTTCCTTATAATGCTTACTTGTTTACAACATGACTGAATATATTTCATTCAAAAAACAGTTCATCTTTTGATGACAAAAACTGCTAAAATCAACCGGATTTTCGCTTCAATTTAATCCCAAATAATAATCGATTACGGTTTTGTCAAAGTTTTTATAAATTCCATCCAGTCATTGACTATCGATTATATAATAGCGAATTTATCAAGAAAATTATGTAACCTAAAAATAGTCATGACACAAAACTTTCTAACAGAGAATGACATTGACCGATGTTCAACCAGAAGGAGAACAAACTGAATTTTTTGTCTATTTGTTATGTCAACAACAATACTTAAATAATGAGATTGAATGTGCCGTTCTTTGGAATTTCAAGTATATATCATTTGATGATATCGCAAACCATTATAGACTAAGTTTATTAAGACATATTTTTCAAATCGCTTGGACAATTCTTGAAAGTCAACAATGAGTTTATCTAAAGTCACTGCTTTCTCGTTGGCTCTCCACTTCTCGTGTAATTGTTTATTTCGTTTCGGTATCTCTACAACCGTTGTCCTCTTTTCATGAACGTCGGTGTATGATTCGTTTTCAAACAATTTATAATCCATTTTAGATTAATACTGTTGTGTTTGAAAGTTTAGTCACTATATATACTTTTCGTTCATACTTGGATTTCCAGTGTTCCTATCTGTTGTTACCTCAGACTATAAAATATATGAAAATTCACCAACTTATAAATGTAGTAATAGTTGAGTTCAGTTTGTTGCATTTAGTATTGTTAACATAAATTTTCTAAATCTTTTCTTTCCTAGTTTTTTCTTCCACTTGTCCAAAATTAACATATACTAGCGACTAACTTTAATGACTATGTTCACTTTCTGTGGTTATTTTCATTAATATAATCATCTCTTTACTTTAAATTCATTTTCTAAATATAAATAATTATTCTTACTAATTGTGTGTTATTTCATCATTCCCAACCAGTACCTAGCAGCCACTACCCTTCTATCTTGGAACATCAATTTCCCCGTTTTAAACGCAGACAGACATAAAAAATTCTCCAACGATGTCATGTGAAATAGTGAACGTTGATGTGCGACCATTACGTTTATTTGTCATAATACTTTGTTTTGAGCAACAAACTTATATACCTATAGAGACTTTTCCCGACCGTTGATGCTACCTTGAAGCTGGTGGTCAAGCTTGTCTATCGTAATGAACCAATCGAGCTATACTGGCTGGAACGATCGTTCCTCAAAGTCCTACCATGCCAGGCAGGTCGGTTGAAGAACAGTAAAACTACCAGCAGCAAACCCAAGGTCCAAAGGCGAAGCCGCACTGTTGACTGTACAGAGATGTGACAGCAGTAAGGTGTTTACTTCAGACAACCAGCATAACAGAGATGCTGCCTTCCCACAAGGAGGGGTTGAGTTAAGAAGGATCGACCCTAAAACTGCACACCTTGCCTTATCCCATGAATATCCGTCTCCGGCGGTGAAGTCTCAACAAGTATGGAGCCAACATGAAAATTACTCACAAAAAGGTCGTGTGTGACCGACCTCAAACAGTTATCCCTTGGACACTGTGGTAACGCTCTCAGGTCACTAATACCACCTCTAATCCAATTTCCCTTTCAAGTACCTCTGAAATAACCCTTCCACAGTATGGGCAACTTGGAAGTGATAACCACCCTCACACTTCTAACAGCACTCAAGATCAGTGTGTTCATAATCAATCTTCCTCTTCAATTCCTATTATTCCTCCTACCTCGACTTTCAACTTTCAACTTCCTCTTTCGACTTCATCCTGTCTCAAGTCTACTGAAACCTCTCTCAAAACTACACATTGGAGTCTTCAACGTACACACCCTGTGTCAAATCGGCCAGCAGGCCTCCTTGGCTAAGACTCTAAAACCTCGTACCATTGATATATACTGCATCTTCGAAACACACAAACAAGATCGTAGTGTGGTTATTCACTCTACCTCACCTAGCTAAGACGGGGAGCGGAAGAGATATACCCTCCGTGTATCTGGCGACCTGACGGCAAGTTTCCGTGGGCTGGGGGTGTAGGCGTAGCACAAAGTACGAGGGCAGAAGAAGCACTTTTAAAATAGATCTCTGCTAACAGTCACCTATGTAACGTTAGACTAAATGGCTCCGTATGAACTCAGAAGGATAGGGATACTCGTCGTTGCCTTTTCATCATTTCTGTCTTCACTCTCACTGACTGCATCCTGGATGAAGTGAAAGTTGGATTTTACAGAAAGCTTTTTGAACTTCATGAAGCCAAACGCTAAGACATAGTACTCGTAGCAGGTGACTGGAATAGTCGTTAGATAATCAAAGCCATTACAAATTAAAAGACACATATATGTCATCACTTTAGACAGTAATCTCATCAGCATCCTTCAAAACAAAGAAGGAAATCACAATGAATGTTATCCACTGTTATGCACCCACCAGTGATTGAAACGACGACGATAAAGATCAGTTCTATGAGAGGCTGCAATCTATCATAGCGAATAGCTCCATTTTTATTCAACGTCATCATAGACCTACTGTGGTGTGATCTACTTATATCTATGTAAGTAGTATATGGTGTTGGTCAGACATAGAATGTATTTTGGCAGAAGACCGATGACGAAAGAACTGAAACGAAGCGCAATCTGTAGGAAAATGCACGGACAATGGAATTAGAGAAGAAACAGTGAAGATCGAGACTATTGATTGTTAATTTGCAAATTGACTGTTCATTGTTTGATAATCAGAATTTACTGAGATAGTCTGTAATCCTTGCTTTAATACATTCGATTGTCCCCAACCAGTGTTCTGTTCATTACACTACTTCTGGAAATAACGTTATCGTCGACTGAATTTTTGGGCATTGATTTTCTAGAAGGAGGTCTACTTGTCGGCTTAGAATACGCAGATGATATAGTCCAGTTTGGCGTAAATGTTGATGAAATATAGTCTTTTGGTAGCATTGAACAACTATGCAAGGATGTTTGGGATGCGTTTCTCCCTCGCTAAATGTAAGTTGTCGCTTCAGGACTGGTCTGCGTCAACATCTGAACTAAGGATAGGGAGTGAAGTAGTTTGACGCGTCGACAACTTCAATTATCTTGGAAGTCTGATCAGCCCTAATGGGTCGGTATCTGACGAAATCTCTGCACGGATTCAATAAGAAGCCCGTTTGAATTTTGCCAACTTACGTCACCTATGGTGAAGGCGAAATATCCGTCTGTCAATAAAAGGACGAGCGTACTGGGCAACAGTTTGCTCTGTTCTATTTTACGACTGCGAAACGTGGTCATTAAGAGTAGAAGATACTCGTAAGTTACTAGTATTTGATCACATATGTCTTAGAAATATGGCTCGCATCTACTGGGATCGCCGGGTAAGTAATAGTTAGGTTAGGCGCAAGGTATTGGGGAATGATGGTGGATCAGTTGACGAGGTTGTGAATCTTCATCGACTGAGATAGTTGGATCTCGTGTTACGCATGCCTAACCACCGATTACCACGATATGTAATGCTGACTAGTGTTGTGGATGGTTGGAAGAAAGTTAGGGAAGGCCAAACCAAAATATGGTATCAGTCCTTGAAGTCATTAACTTCTGATGTTAGCCATGTTGTTAGATGCAAACTACTTGGTTGAGGTCCACGAGACTATCGTAACCAATGGTTGGAGACTGTGGGTAACATGGCTTAGAATCGATCATTATGGTGTAGATGTATCCACTCTCTGTCTTCTTTTAAACCGTAAGATCAGCATTGCTTTACGCGTTTCTTTCCACCAACTAATTATTTCCTGAACTATATCTGCTTCTACGAATTCGGTGTTCATTTTGTCGTGTTAATGAGGAGTGGCAACTTGGACCAATGCATATATAAAGCTAATAATAATAATATATGTGCCTGATTCTACGTTGTAATTGACTGATTGACCTATAGAGATTTACTTCTTTTAGGAGGTTTCTCATAGTTTCGTGATATTAATTCTAGCATATTTCTTGTCTCGTATTAATGATTGGTGTTTCCTAGTATCTAAACTTGTTACATCTCTTACTGACTTTTTGCCAGTCCCTTAACGAGCAACCGGCAACACAGGGATCAATTTCAGGATCTTCACTTCGTACCATTACTGGTTCGCATCTGTCTCGTCGCCTACCTGGAACTCTTCAGCACGAAGAACAGCCCAGTTCACTAAATGTTAATGGTCCATCCTCAGATCAAAATCCAGATAACCTGCATATTGGACTAAGCCTTACTCCGGATATTGTAAGTTTTTTCTGCTTATTGTACCGTTGTGTTCATGTCACTAAAAGATAGAAATTATTTTTATTTAGATAAATTTTTATTGATATTCTAGACATCTCCCAGGTATTATATTTTTGCAGGAAGTGGAACTCACATATTTGCTTATCTTTACACGCTTTTAATTAATGAAATCGTGGATTAATACTTACGGAGGAAAAATCAATTTCGCTAATGAATCGTTACATAACTCCAATGTTTTATAATATTGATTTTTAACCAGCAGTACGTTACTTATATAACTTTGTGTCACTATTCAATCATTATTCTGTATTTCTTTTTCGAATTGTTATCTTGTTCGTTCATTAGATGTATCTTTTGTACTTACTTACTTTACCCCTGTTACCCGTCATGGAGGAGCATAGGCCAACCACCACTACTCTCCATCCAACCCTGTCCTGGGCAATCCTTCTCAGCTACTATTCATCCTTTTCATGTCTGTTTCCAATTCCCGACGTAGTGTGTTCCTCAGCGTTCTGTTGTATTGTTCATTAAATTCAATTATCTTTGACTGACTTTTATTTGCCTTACAATTCATCAAGACCGTAATTAGATTTTTAATGATCTCTTAAAACTAGATAGATATGCTTTACTTTTATTGTTAAAAGTTAAGAAAATTGTCAACCTTTCTCTTATGATTTTCATTGGTTATACATGTTTATAGATTTTTGCACTAATGAATAGTTTCCCGTGTAATGTCATTGACTGCTGACGTTCGCCTGTAACTACTACAATAAATATGTTGAAAAATAAGTCAAGTGCTTAATAATCTTAAAGCATCCTACAAAATTCGTGTATAACAAGTATTTTGTTTTTCAATATCCATGATATTGGTCAATTTAGTACAGTGATGGCAAATATATTTTTTCTTCAGTATGTTGTATTAAGTTGTTAAGTTTGACTCTATTTGTATCGTATTTAGCACATAGTATTAGTTATTTTGTTCAGTTAAAATCGTATACGTTTTACATCACATGATGCTTTTTTAATGCACACCTTTCGTTACTTTTCATTTTGGTTAAAACGAAGGGCAGTGTATACGATGAACTAAGAAACGCTTCTCGAAACGAACTATTAGGAAGGTATGACATAATTCTAGTGGTAACGAATTAATATCATGAAGATTCACGATAAGTCTTTTATTTACTCAGTTGTTTAAAATGATGGCTGAACTAGTCATATTGCGTACTGGTGCTCATTTGCCATCTCAAGATCAGACAATAAGTGAGACATTATGAAGGAGGCATACTTTTGGAGGAAACTGATCATTTTTGTATTTAAGGTCTCAGCCTACTTGTCCTTGTCTAGGTCAGAAGAACGAATTTATCCATTCCAGTTATTTGTTTCATTTGGTTTCCTATCTAAAGTTTTCTAGTCTTCTCACTTCCATAGCAGGTTGTGAAAGCATCTAAGAAATCTCTATGTGAGTTGGATGTCATAGAACACAACAAAAAGTTGATGTGTTATCGGCACTATCCTTGATTCTTGTTTTTATTTTCTATCAGGATACTGGTTTTTTTTGACTGAATGAATACAGTCTTTAAATCTTGCTGAGTGGATTTTAAAAAAAAGTAATCCCTTTAATTTATTTTTAAGAGACTGGTTATCTATCTAATCTATTTGACATGAATATCTAATTAACAATTCTTTTATCATTTTCTACTGTTCATGAGTTTTCTCACATTAAACTTTTTAACCATAGATTCAAATACTAGCTTTAAGATAGTATTATGTATATTTTTACGAGACCGAGACACTTGATAATGATCAGATCGTTCTTAGAGTTTAATTGTGGCTTACCTGCTTCAATTTTCCTGGTTAGAGAGAGTATTGTTCATCTATAAAGGAAAGTCGTTTTTCAGTCTGATAAATGAACTTGAAACAACATAAACAGGTCATATTTATTGTATTATGTTTAATACATTTGATTTTATATTTTTCCCATTGTTTATTCTCGATATATTAGCAAACGGAAGTTCAACAACATAAGCTAACACCAAATGAACGACATGATTGTGAAGTTATCGGTGAGTTCAATAATATATATTCTAATTGTTAGAGGTTGTAAAATAATGTTTTTCTTATTTGTTCTGGCACTTGATGTTAGTCTGTTATATTAAATATTTTAAACTATACTGTGTTCACTTTTAAATATTTATAGTTCATAGTCGAATCTAAAAATCTGTACCAGGTTACTTAATTTCATTAACATGTCACACTTGAAAGATGTATTTTATCAACTCACTAAAATGGCTAGTTATATCACCAAGTTTTTACTGGTTTAAGCTCTGAAGGTTCATTATCTAATTAAACTAGTTATAGGCTTGTAATTTTGGTTAAGATACGTGACGTAAGAATCAGAATACAAAAATGAAAGCATAGCGACAAATAATTTCAAAATTGAATATGGTGGTACAAAGCGAGAAGACAAATCTTGTATTGTTTCAAGCAAGGTCACAAAATAGTTATATATTTCAGACCAAGTTGCTATGAATGGCAGGAATTACATAACGTCCTGTGAGTATAATTTATTAAGAGTAAACCAGTTTGAGAGAACTACTTATGATATTCATGGTTTATATATTCTAGATGTGAAGTTACCATTCAATATACTATCTTGTTCATGGTTGACACCAAATAAAACTTAGAAAAGTACAATATTGCTGTTATATTTATTATGAAGCTATCGAGTAAAGACTACTCACAGTCGACAATTCTTGTTAGCTTGATATATTTAAGAATTTCACGTATCTAAACCTTGTTAAAAATCAATTAGTCATGTTAAACTCCCTTTTCCCAACAAATTTCCCTGTTAAGTGCTTTCTGTGGTCAATAATTCATGCTCTTTTTGACTATCAGTGTGTAAATTCACATAAAGCGTGGAATATCATGAATCCATTTATTTCCCGAAATCTTTATAATCTCTTGCATCTTAGAAATGATAGTAATGATTATTTGCAATCAGTATACATACTTTTAACTATTATTGAGACTTCTAACCATAAAATTGAGTGACCTGTAGAACCTGTCTATGAAAATGCAAGATTATTTGCAATACGGTATTGTTATCATAAAAATATGTGGGATTTGTTGTGAATTTATGCTCGGCTTTTACCACGTGATTTATTCACCAATCGAGATACGACTTATCCAATCTTAGCACTGTTCCAAAACAATGACGTTCGACCGGTATGAGCAGCCTAGCGTTTTTATTGATCCTTTATCCCCCTAGCCCTTCCAGTCGAGCCCAGAACACCAATTACAGATTCAGCTATGCGGATCATTTATTTCAAGCATACTCGGTTTATATACCAGACAGACAGACCACATGACACCATAAAATAAAAAATAAAATTTGTACAAGATCAAGTCGAAATGTGGCTGTGAACGTGGGAGACAGTAATCAATAGACTGGATATAATTTAGGAATAGTAAATCGTATAATAATAATTTATAGGTCAAAATAAAGCTTATAATAAGATGAGTATATATAGATTAACTGTAATCACTGAATAGTTATACAATAACATTATATATAGAATAATCATCCATTAATAGGTCCCGGAAGTTACCCGTCTTCACTAGGATATAACGGAATTCATTAGAGACTACGGTTTGGGATTTATCTATGGTATACACAGAGCGCGTGTACAATAAAAGAAAAATGTTTCCTAAAATAAATATATTCATTTATTTACAGCAATGTATAGTAAGCTAATGGCTATATCGAATTACTGTCGGAGACAATACAAAAACAAGAACAACACAAAAAAATTGTAAACGGTTACAATTAAACAAGCTCTCAACGAGTGCACTAGGATTAAAATTAATTGTCGCAAAGTATTGAGTTTATATAATCTCAATAATAAGTAAACTGAATATTATCAATTTGTGTAAATACTTAGAAATATTTTACCTCAGATAAAGATATCATAACTCCGCCTGTAGCTCTTCTAGAGTTACTGCCGGTCCCAAGCCCGGGTAAAGGAGGAGGGTTGGGCATGGGGTTAGCGACCCCATCCCGTAGAAAAGCTAACTCGCTAAAAAAACGCTGACTAGAAAAAATAATCCAAACCATTTAAACTCTGCCCTGGGAGTTGAAGGAATAATGACGTCTCATGATGAAAGCCGAAATTCTTCCGAAGTCACGAGACCGATGCACCTTCTAACAACCAGAGCAACACTCTTTATAGGTACATGGAACGTCCGGACAATGTGGGAAACAGGAAAGACCAGCCAAATAGCAATGGAAATGAGGAGATACAACTTGGCAGTACTCGGAATCAGCGAAACCCATTGGACACAAACTGGACAACAAAGGCTAGGTACAGGAGAGATGCTGCTGTACTCCGGTCACGAAGGGGAAAATGCGCCACACACTCAGGGAGTTGCTCTAATGCTGTCCAGAGAAGCACGAAACGCACTTGTAGGATGGGAATCTCATGGACCCAGGATAATCAAAGCATCATTCAGAACAAAGAAGCAAGGGATCACAATGAATGTTATCCAATGTTATGCACCCACCAATGATAGCAACGACGATGATAAAGATCAGTTCTATGAAAGGCTGCAATCAATTATAGCAAAGTGCTCACGAAAGGACCTCACCATCCTGATGGGAGATCTAAATGCTAAAGTTGGAGTGGACAACACAGGATATGAAGATGTAATTGGACGACATGGACTAGGAGAGAGAAATGAAAATGGGGAGAGACTTGCAAACCTATGTGCTTTCAACAAATTGGTTATAGGCGGCACAATATTCCCACACAAACGCATACACACAGCTACATGGATCTCACCGGACCACACCACAGAGAACCAGATTGATCACATCTGTATCAACAAAAAATACCGAAGATCAATGGAAGATGTGAGAACCCGGAGAGGAGCTGACATAGCTTCAGATCACCACCTGGTTGTGGCCAAGATGAGACTGAAGCTAAAGAAAGACTGGACAACTAGACAAACAGCACTACAAAGGTTTAATACAGCCTTCCTTCGAGATACTGACAAACTCCATGAATTCAAGATAACTCTCAACAACAGGTTCCAAGCTCTACAGGATCTACTGAAAGAACAAGAAACTACTTTGGAGGACAACTGGAAAGGGATAAAAGAAGCACTAACTTCAACGTGTCAGGAGCTTCTTGGTCCTAAGAAGCACCATCACAAGGAATGGATCTCTATGGGGACCCTGGACAAACTTCAAGAAAGGAAGAACAAGAAACTAGCAATTAACAACAGCCGAACACGAGCAGAGAAAGTCAAAGCACAAGCAGACTACGCAGAAGCAAACAGAGAAGTGAAGAAAAGCATTAAAGCCGACAAGCAGAAATACATGGGAGAACTAGCAACGGTGGCGGAAAAAGCTGCAAGAGAAGGGAATATGAAACAACTATATGATACAACGAAGAAATTGGCAGGGAGATATAGCAAACCAGAGAGACCAGTCAAAGACAAAGAAGGAAAGACAATCACTGAGATTCAGGAACAGAGGAAAAGATGGGCAGAATACTTTGAGGAACTGCTGAATAGACCAGCCCCATCGAATCCACCGAACATCGAAGCAGCCCACACTGACCTTCCAATAGATGTCACTCCACCAACGATCGAAGAAGTCAAGATGGCCATCAGACAAATCAAAAGTGGGAAGGCGGCAGGACCTGACAATATACCAGCAGAAGCACTGAAGTCAGACATTGAAATAACTGCAAACATGCTTCACCTTCTATTCAAAAAGATTTGGGAAGAGGAACAAGTGCCAACGGACTGGAAAGAAGCATATCTCATCAAGATACCAAAGAAAGGAGATCTGAGCCAATGTGAGAACTACAGAGGCATCAGTTTGTTATCAGTACCAGGAAAAGTTTTCAACAGAGTGCTGCTGAATCGGATGAAAGACGCAGTAGACGCCGAACTTAGGGATCATCAGGCTGGATTCCGTAAGGATCGGTCGTGCACAGACCAGATTGCGACACTACGGATCATCGTTGAACAATCAGTTGAGTGGAACTCATCACTAAACGTCAACTTCATCGACTATGAGAAGGCGTTTGACAGCGTGGACAGGAGAACATTATGGAAACTTCTTCGACACTATGGAGTTCCTCAGAAGATCGTCAACATTATCCAAAACTCATACGATGGATTACAGTGCAAAGTGGTGCATGGAGGACAGCTGACAGATGCATTCCCAGTAAGGACCGGAGTCAGACAAGGCTGTCTACTCTCCCCATTTCTCTTCCTTCTAGTGATTGACTGGATTATGACGAATTCGACATCTGAAGGGAAATACGGAATACAATGGACTTCTCAGAATCAATTAGATGATTTGGACTTCGCAGATGACCTAGCCCTCCTCTCTCATACACACGACCAAATGCAGATGAAGACAGCAAATGTAGCAGCAGCCTCCGCATCGATAGGCCTCCACATTCACAAAGGAAAAAGCAAGATTCTCAAATGCAACACGGAGAACACCGACCCAATCACACTTGATGGCGAAACTCTGGAAGAGGTGGAAACATTCAAGTACCTGGGGAGCATCGTTGATAAACAAGGAGGATCGGATGCAGATGTAAAGGCAAGGATTGGCAAAGCAAGGGCAGCATTTCTACAATTGCAGAACATATGGAACTCAAAACAACTCTCAACCAATTTCAAGGTGAGAATCTTTAATACGAACGTCAAGACAGTCCTACTGTATGGAGCTGAAACGTGGAGAACTACTACGGCCATCATCAGGAAGGTACAAGTATTTATAAACAGTTGTCTACGCAAAATACTCAACATCCATTGGCCGGATACTATCAGCAACAGCGTTTTATGGGAGAGGACAAACCAGCTTCCAGCTGAAGAGGAAATAAGGAAAAGACGTTGGAAGTGGATCGGACATACATTAAGGAAATCACCAATGTGCATCACGACTCAATCCCTAACTTGGAATCCGGAAGGGAAGCGGAAAAGAGGAAGGCCAAAGAACACACTACGCGGGGAAATAGAAGTCGATATGAAAAGGATGAATAGCAACTGGAAAGGAAGGCTCAGGACAGAGTTGGATGGAGAATGCTGGTGAGCGGCCTATGCTCCTCAACGAGGGGTAACAGGCGTAAGTAAGTAAGTAAGTAAAGATATCATGCTATACGCTCAAAAAGTCATTGTGATTGAAACCGGTTACTGAATATTTGTAAGTAGTATAGTATTATCTGCAAAATAAAATTGAAAAAGAAGACATTATGTAGACAGAACTCGCTTGACACCTACTTTGCATCATACTAATGAATTTTATTGAAACGGTCAATAGATATGAAAGGATTATAAGAATTTTCAGACAATTGTTCTTTTCTAAACAATTCATAAGTGATTTAGAACAACATATATAAGTGAACAATATTGTTTTCGATTAGATCCTCATCATGCTTTACTCTAATATACAGTAATATTTATATGTATATACGAAATTATTAAACCAATCAAGGCAGTTTATGAGTCAATGATAACAGTGGAATAGATTACATAATTAAAATTAATAATAAGTGAAATGTACAAATTGATATTGTAATGACAGGTGTACTAGTTGTGATAAGAATAATAAAAGGCTTGGATCAATGTTACATAATAGGAAAATAGGTCAATGATTAGAAAAATATAGACACTGAAATAACATTCATAGAAATTATAAGATTACGTAATAAGAAGTGTTTTAAGTTCTTTAAGGAGAATATTTAGAAATCATGAAAATATGTTACTAGAAAATGAAAAAAAAAAATTAGGCAGTAACAACAGTAAAAAAATTAATTAATTAAGAATTAAATAAGTAGAGCTTATAAAAGATGCAACAATAAAGCATAGAAATTCGTAACCGAGATTACGCAATAAAATGTTGAAAATTTGATAGTGGACATGTTGATATTTTAAAAATCTCCGAAAATAATCAATGCGCAAATAACTCCTTGTTTACGTTTTTTAGTGAAGCTTTCTCTATTAAAAAGTTAGGACTGACTACGATTGTCAGTTTTGTACTATTATACTGATGACTTTTTATTATTGATTTATTCAAAACTAATGAGGATGTTATTTCTCATTCAGGTACTAATATCAAACATTTTATTAGCATCCCTTTTTTTCCCTTTAGGAAAACTTATTCGTTCCTATTTTCTAATTGTTCGGAAGAACATACAAGATACTGTTCCAAAAGCAATAATGCATTTTTTAGTGAATTTCGTTAAAGATAATTTGCAATCGGAACTTGTCGGTAAATTGTATAAACAAGATGAATACAATACATTGTTACAAGAAAGTGAACGAGTAGCTCAGCGCCGAAGAGAAGCTTCCGAAATGTTGAAGGTAAATAACTCATAGTCTAAATGGTCTGTTAATTCTATAACTATATGTATCAACTCATTCATAAAATAACACGAAGTATTAGAATTCCCCTATACACCCAAATCTTTTGACTTATTCCTTTATGATTACTTTCATTTAAAAAAACTTTTGAATTCATAACCTTGCTTTCGCTCAACCAGTATTTGTCTGCTTATTATTAGAAAGCGGATATATATATATATATATATATATATATATATATATATATATATATATAACATGGAGTCATAATGAAAAACCAACTGATGAAAATTAATTCTCTGTATTCATCTTTTTCTAAATGGCAGTTCATGCTATTTCATAAATCTTTCCAGAATCCTCCTGCTCCAAACCGTAGTAAGGAAAATGCAAATAGAGACTGGGTTATATATTGGTATGAAAATATCTTTTAGTTCATACATAAAAGAAATCAGATTTGATTTGTACTAATATACTTTTGAAATTTCTTTCTATAGGCTCTTCAGAAAGCCAGTTTGATCATCGGTGAAATTCGTGAAACACATTTATGGTGATTAAATGTTTCGGGCATCATTTTTTGATTTTCAACGACAACGATGGTTTACATGTTTCCTTACTTTCTTGTATTCCTAATATAATTTTTCGTTGATTAAAAGTATATATGTAGGCTTTTAACCAAACCATACCAGTATACTACGTATGTGTATACATCATTTCTTTTGTGCCATTTATTCAGCTATCTTCATCTACATTTTGACCGTTATTTCGAAGTTCTTATCTGTTGTTATCCTTGCTACTGTTACCACCAATACGACAACTTCTAACCAACGCACACCAAACTCATCTATCATCTTATAAACTAACCTAGCATAATAAGTGAACTATAAAGAATTTACTGTTTAGTAGTTTATAAGACTGATTATCATTCTACACTGTCTTATTGTTTTCCTCGTAGGTTCTTTTTTGTTATGATAGTTTTCTTTTTAATTGTGGAAAAATGTATATCTCTCCTAACCTGTGTTTGTAAAAAAGCTTTCTATATTGTAACTGTTCTGCAATTAAGAATGTAATTATCTGAAAGAGCTATTACAAATTTCTACCACACTCAATAGTCTTAATTCTGCTAACTTTTCTCCCCGGTTTATTAATTATAAGCAGTCCATTTTTAGTTATACTTATTAATTATTTTGTGGGAGAGGGGGTTTATAAATTAAAAGTAGTTGATATGATACCCTTTTAGTACTGCTGTGTCTCAATTTCGACCCGTAGAGTCCAATATCCTTGGTGGTTGCAGAAGCAGTCACGCAGAGGTTGAAAACTGCAATCTTATCAATGTTTAAGCCAGAAATTCGGAGACTCTATGTATACGATGCATTCGTCATTCTCGGAAAGGATCAGTTGGAAAGTATCCACATTTTCATCAACGGTATTTTCGCTGACAAAAAATTCACATTAGAAGCGGAACGAGACAACAAGCTACCTTCTTTTTTTTACAAACTGAACATCAGAAACAATACGGAAAGACTGAAAACTTAAATCTATCGGAAACCAACACATACTGATAAAATACTCAATTACAAAAGCAACGGTTCACTTGTTCACAGAGTAAACTGTATACAAAGACTTTTGAAAAGAGTGAAAATACTTTGCAGCACTTCTGTTGCGCGAAGAAATAAAGGAAAACATATAGTCGGTTTATTCCAAGAAAAAAAATAACCAACCACAAAATTTCATCAAAAATCGCTTATCAAATAAACAATCAACGAGAAAGATCAGCAAACGAATAAATTTACCCTACATGAAGAGGATCTCCGAGATAACGAACAGTGTTAAGACTACTAGGAATTTAGGTGTAGTTCACAAGCTAAAATAATCACTGCAAACCAAAGAGCACAACGACAAACAGGTACAAGCCAGTGATCAACAATAGAAATTTGTAGTTGCCTTTCTTCGAGGTAATTCCTACTATTCATGTGTCACTAGTTACGATAACCGTTACTAGATAACTCTCAATTGTGTTTAAATTTTAGCAAACAATACGAAGCGTTAACTGCAGTTTGTTATTGTCCAGCTCATCACAAAGATACAAACACAAGTGAATGCAAACAAAAATGTGGATATGAGCGTCTGAAACAATAAATAAGATAAAAGAAGCACATATATATAGGAAAGCAATCTTTCATTGAAGAATTTAAGCTAGCAAGGGTAATGTGTGTGCCGTAACACATGATTATAATAATACAAAGGTACAAAATAATTGTTACTGACCGAACGACACAGTCTCTTACATAATATAAGTCAAAAGTTTAAGAAAATAAGATGTAGGTGGTATGTTGTAAATTGCAACAACTGCTGCATGCTATAGATTTAAACAGCTACCCTTTTTGTCTACGTCTACATGAATAGCAGTTAGCGACGCTGCGTAGCTTTCCTTACATCATTGGATAAGAATATGGTTTCAACTAGGACAGCGTCAAAATGTAACAAAAATACAAGGTGAGCCAAAGAATATGTAGAAGGCATGACACTTTATTCAAGCATCATTCAACAGACATACTCAGACCAGTTGTACCTGTCAGTCAATAAGTAAAAGTATAGAAAAAACTGTGTCCAAGTTTAGGTGCGGGAAGAAATCTTATACACAAAAGAACGACCACACAGTTATGAAAAACAACCAACTAAATTTCAGGTCTATTGGACAAATTGGTAACTGACAATCGATCAGTCGTGATCAGTTTGATGGGTTCGATATGGACACGAATAAGCTTAATACCGGTAACAGTGACGTGCTGCAACCGATACGACAGCTGATCTGTGTGTTTGGTGGCGAGTATCGGATATTTGAAGAACTTTGGAAAACAACTCGTTATCAGCTGGGGTGTGATGTTGTTCCCCGATTAAAAGGTCAGATCTCAGATGTATTATGAACATTCGATGAAGACAAGAAATAAATTGAAGGTTCCGCATTCGAGCACACAGTCTGTTACCAATCAAATACGTTGTCACAACAGAGAGTTTCTTCAGAATATTGAGATTCAGTAATATTCTCGATCATATTGCTCGGAGCAACGAATGCCAAGCATCAAACGCCCAGATATCTATGGGTATCGTGGGTCGAATTGCACAACTCGGTTGAACAGGCGTTTCTGTACATGATGTTGGTTTATGGAGCAGTGTCAATGTGGGCATAGTGAATCATATGAAGCATATTTTAGCAATGATTTTGGTATGAGTGCAAAACCGCTGAGCCCGACGTGATTCGAACACGCAGCCTTCTGATCTGGAGTCAGACGCGCTACCGTTGCGCGACGAGCTCACCTCGTCCCAACCACACATTCTTATTCTCACTAATACTCAACCACTCCTCCCTCAAACACATCATCCTCTATTCGTTGTCTATTCGTCCACTCACAATCCGCTTACAAATTGTCAATAGGCGAACGAGTATCAACACAATACACACATCACAATCAGTAAGCGCATCTACTCATTCGTTCATTACAGGACAACTGTACACAATAGCTAACCGTCCACACGACACAACCACACAAACCACCAAGCAAGTCGGCAAACAATCACATCCAAAATCAAACAACTATCCGACGAAAAGTATCACCAATCAACAACACCACATACTCACACAAATATTCATTCGTTCATTCAAACTATTATTCGACCAATCGGTCAATCGATCGATCAATCCTTCAAACCATTGTAGCTGTAAATAATTCCCCAAAATCAATAGTTCATTAAGTGTTCGACATTGGATGCTGAACACGTGTTTAAGTGGACTTGTTTAGCTGAAGGCTTTCGGTCATGCATCCGTACCAGATCACGTTTCGACTCGGCGTGGGACACAGCTCCTACGTTTCATTAGCCAGCTCATAGAAAAGGTCCTCCATATATTGGTAACGAATCAAATATATCTTTCCTGCCTCTTCTCGTCTGACTTCTGATTTCTATATGACTGGGAACAATCGAATTTCGAAGGTGCTATTGGTATCTAGTTGTAAAACTAGAATATCCGTTGCATCATCATTGGTGAGAACGACGTGATCTGGTACACCAAGCCAATATACTGTGAGTCTGTTCCATTTTGGAATATTATTATTCATTGTTATTCTTTATTTGAATTTTATATATTGTGATATACTTTTTTCGCGAATTTTTTTCCCGGATATATTTTACTTAGACATTTTTCGTTATCTAAATTACTATGACGGAACACTCTCCTAAGGTTCTTAAGTTTAAGTCTATTCCCCCTATTTCGATTCAGTTAACGCCATTTTGGCCCGACAATTTCGAGTCCTGGTTCTGCTATGCAGAAGCCGATTTTTGCATGCACGGAATCACGGACTCGCGCACACGTTTCCTCGCGGTAGTTAAGGCGTTACCGCGCGAGTTTAACAGGTACGTAACACCTAGTATGTTTACTAGTGATGTTTCCGAACCTTACGAATCGCTTAAGCTATCGATTTTAAAACGAGGAGACCTAACTGATCGACAACGGTTAGACCAACTCCTTAACAATATCGACTTGCAACATGGTTCTGCGACGGACATGTTGCTTAGAATGAGAGAAGTCATCGGCCAACGAACTTTCGATGATGGTCTATTTATACAACTTTTCTTGTCTAAACTCCCTCAACAGGTGCAGGCAGTGCTTGTTTCATTTCAAAACAATGCCATAGATGAACTAGCTGCATCTGCCGATCGAATCTTGGAAATCACTAGATCTCCTAAGGCCGAGGTTTTTTCCGTCAAGGAAAAACCCCAATCGACCTCGACTGACATGGCCGAACTATGTCACACGCTTACACGATATCTTAGAGTTCGCAATGACCGTAGTCGGTCAAAAACCCCGCGTAGAAGCGTCTCACGTAAGCGATCTGGCTCTCGACCACGAGAGACAGACAATCCCGACTGGTGCTGGTATCATAACCAGTACGGTAAGTTTTCCAGAAATTGCAGGAAACCTTGCAATTATCCGACTTCAAAATCGACTGACACGAATAAGATTTCGGGAAACTTCCCAGCCGGCACGCGTTAACGGTAACCGTAGCCGGCGAACACAGCCGTCTGTTATACGTCACGGATGTGACTACGAAAGTCCGATCGTTACCCGCCGCCTCATATTCACGATTTGACAGCTACCTTGAAAGGTACAACTGTCTTTTCGAAAATCTACTTGGTTAAAGCTTATAACCAAATCCCGATGGCACCTGACGACATTCCTAAAACCGCCATCATCACTCCCTTCGGTCTTTACGAATTTCTACGAATGCCTTTTGGTTTAAGAAACGCGGCTCAAACCTTCCAAAGGTTTATAGACGACGTCTTTCGAGGTCTCAACTTCGTACATGCGTATGTTGATGACTGTCTAATAGCAAGTCCGGACAGAGAATCGCATCTCAAGCATCTGGACATTGTTTTCGATCGACTCCAAAGACATGGCATTACTGTCAACATACAGAAATGCCAAATCGGAACAAACTCCTTAGACTTCCTAGGACACACCATTGATGCCCAAGGCATCCGACCCCTTAGGAGCAAAGTGGCGGCCATTCTGGATTACCCAGAACCGACCACGATCAAGCACTTACTAACTTTCAACGGACTCGTAAGTTTCTATAGACGGTTCATACCTAAATGCGCATCCCTAATGAAACCGTTAACCGATCAGCTTCGTGGAAATGCGAAATCAATTAGTTTAGACGACATAGCCCGTAAAGCATTCTCCACAGTTAAGGAACACATCGCTAAAGCAACCCTGTTTGCTTATCAGGACACTCAAGCGCCCATTAGTATCGCCGTAGACGTATCCGACTTAGCAATCGGAGCAGTCTTACAACAATGGGTTAACAACTCGTGGCAACCTTTAGGATTTTTCTCGAGACGGTTGCTAGACGCGGAATCTAGGTACAGCACGTTCGGTAGGGAACTCTTAGCTATGTATTGTGCTGTACGGCATTTTCAACATTCCATCGAAGGAAGAGAATTCACGCTTTTTACCGATCACAAACCTCTTACCTTCTCTTTAACTTCATCTTCAGACAAGTACTCACCGCGAGAGTCTCGACAACTCGACTACATTTCGCAGTTTACTTCAGACATATAACATATTTCTGGAGCTAACAATGTAGTCGCAGACGCCTTGTCTCGAATAAATTCCTTGAACAGTTTCCAAGGAATCGACCTTCTTAAACTCGCTCAGCTTCAAAAAGAAGACACTGATCTTCAGCATGAGTTATCCTCGACAACTCTTAAACTAAGTATTAGGCAGATGGGAACAGGTAAGGAAACCTTACTCTGTGACACATCTACAGGTACGGATCGTCCAATTGTACCAAAACACTATCGCCGCAACGTCTTCAATACGTTGCACAATCTTTCTCATCCAGGTGCTCGTGCAACAATCGAACTTATAGCCGAACGTTTTTGTTGGCCTGGCATGAATAAAGACGTGAGGGAGTGGTCACGCTCCTGTGTAAGCTGTCAGAAATCTAAGGTAATCAGACACAACGAATGTCCCTTAGGTTCTTTCAAAACCCCTGACGCTCGTTTCGACCACGTCCAT